TTATACATGTTGAATAAATAATAAAATAAACTAAACTAAATATATCGAAGGAAATAAAGTTGCCATTTCGCTAGGCATTAAAGTTACCGTATCAATAAAATTGCCAGATCTGCAGGCAACTAAATGGACATCTTGATCTATGTGATTATCAAAGGCAATAAAATTGACATCTAATGATTTACATAATTGATTGATAACAATAAAATGGACAAATTGATCTTTGTAAAAGATCTACATAGCAATAAAATAGACTTAATATTCTACCAATTAAAATCTATCTAAAATTTTACCCATCACAACGGTCATTCTTAAAAAAAAAATCATTACATTTAATTGTCATGTGATATAAATCAACTTTTTTATTATGAAAAGTAGTAAAATTATAATCTACTTGATCTTGACCTTCTAAAATTTATTGTATTACTTATATGTTCAATGCTAACATATTATTCTGTTCCATTCTTGGTATTTGGACATCTCTTTTGATAATGTTCAGGTACACCACATAAAAGATATTTTCATTGTGCTTTTGCTTCTTCACTATCAACTTCACCCACCTTTTTATCTTCCATAGCACCTTTGATCCTTCTTTTACAAGGAGCTCCTCTAATTTTCGTAACATGAGGGTTTGTTATTTGGGCTATCAAATGCTGTTGTAAGGGAAGTATTTCACTATCACTTTGATTATTTTCATTATTGTTACTTCCTGCGGCTATATTCTCTTGTAAACTATCTTCATTACTATTTGTTTTGGATAAAATAAAGCTTTTTAACATTTGAACTAACTCATTATCGCTCTTAGTTTCCAACGCGATATTAATTGCCATTTTCGCAGTTGAGAATGCTACTCTGAACCTATTTCTTTGAGGAATAACTTGTTGTATGTTTTCTTTATGGTCAGACCCTTGTATATGTTTTAAACTTTCAAGAGTAAAATCCACTTTATATGGTGTTGCACTATTAGTAGATATTGCTGTAAGGACTGGTGAATTTTCAAGAATATTATCAAACTTCATTAGAATCTCGTCTTTATACCATCTAACGGGTATAATACTAATATGAAACTTCGCTGCACTTGAATAAAGCATCACACGCTAAAAATGGTGACAAATTATCCCCTTAGTGATTGTTTCTAAACAGGTGCAAATGTGGGTTCTGTCATTAAAAAGAGCTACCAGATTGCTTTTACGAGAAACGCCTCTGATTCGGTAAATTTTTCATGTTTCAACTATTTTTGTCACATCTATACCATCTAACATAGCTTTTAATGTTATTTGGGGTTCTTCATCTACATCTTTTACAAAATTATTATCTATCGTGTCGGCATTTTTGTCCTAAAATAAAATACTGTGATTAGCTCTTGAATAAATGGTACACGATCAAGCTAGTTATATTATTGTACCTTGTATCTCAGATAAATATGATACCAATTGCCCTTCGTATGTGAATGATTGTGAAATCTGAAACCGCTGCCAAGATAATATAAGTGGTGATAAGAATTCTGTAAAAACCTTATCAATACTTGAAAAAAATTAGGAAGAAAAATGCGGAAGGCCAATCGTTGTATATTGCGTCTTAATATTTGATAATTGACAATATCGTATTTCTTCTTCTTGCCTCTTATCAATTGCTGTTTCAACATCACAAAGCGTGCTGGCACCATTTAAAGACTTTTTGATAATATTATTAAATGATTCTACGCTTTGGGTGCTTTGTATGCTGGCATTAAATTGTAATGGTAAATAAGCCTTAGCCCAACTGATTCGATTGGTATATAATCTGACCATGTAATTTTCGCACTCCAGAAAATTTTCTATCATTAACTTCCAGCGTTTCTCAAAAATTTCTATATATAACGCATTTCTGCAGGCATAGAAAACCTTGGCGAAATGGTTGAAATTTGAACCCAACTTGGCTTTAAGATGTTTTATAACATTTTGCCAAATGTGAAATAAGCAGTAAAAATGTGGTATAGTAGGAAAGACTTGCAAAATGGCATTAATCAAACCAGGCTCAGAATCTATCCAAAATGATTTTGGGGTAATACCCGTTACTTTTAATAAACATTGAAGAATCCATATATACGTTGAAGATATTTCATCTTCCACTAGTGCATTTGCGATATTCTGAAACCTCCCATAGTTGTCTTTAACCATAAAAATACTTAAATATATGTTGTATTTATTTGTTTTACAAGTGTTGTCATTTAAAACTACATCTGAAAATCGTTGATATAGTTCTTGTTGAACAGGAGACATCCAAAAAATACCGGATAAACGGTGCTCATTACCAGCATGTCGAATGTAAACTTTCCAATATGGATCTTGTGATACTTTTTCAAAAAGAATGTCAAGCATCGAAGTAGTATCAAACTTCTCATTTTTGTTACTTTTAAGCAGATTATAAATTGCATTGTAAACATTCCGCTTATGAAATACATGCTCTGAATACTTTTTTTTAAGTATCTCTAACTGCGTAATAGGGGTCACTTTGCAGTCCATAAAAAAATTTAAGTCCTGAATCATTTCTTTACTAAAACGTCTATATCTAGCAATAACATTTGGTATTTGAGTGGGATTTGTTTTATGATTGTGTGTACCTTTCAACAAAGTATATTATATTTGATTTATAGTCTTCAGAAACATAAAGTTGCAGTGCCATTCGCAATCTGTTTTGACAGTACCACATAGACGGTGTATTGTATGGTCAACCACTTTTTGAGCTTTATAAATACCACTTGATGAACATCGAAACGATTTATGACGGATGATAGTGGGATCTTTCAGGTCCTTATCACTATGAAAAATTTGATAACCAAAGCCTCGTTCGAAACAGTATTGATGTATAAATGCCTCGACTGACAACCAATCATCAAAACTGTCACCAACAGCGAGGTTATATTGATAATTAAAAGGATTTGATATATCATTGAGTAATTCAAAAGTGGGGATATTAGAATCAGAAATATCATTAAGTGGTTCAAGATGTTGTATATTACTGTTAAGAGATAGTGACTCAGAGTCTGGTAAAAAATTCAAGTCTGGTAAAAAGTTCACATCATTGGTAAGAAAATTATGATATAGCGAAATATCATCAAAGTTCTCATTAAAGAAATTAAAAGTATCAGAAAATAAGGCTTCATTATAACCGTTAGAACCACAAGAATAAAGCGTATCAAGTTCCATATTGTTTGAAAGTATTATAAATATCCAAAGAAAACAGACACTAAACAAAAGAAGAAAATGGCGTAAATTCTAAACAGAAGAAGAAAAATGGCGTTTTTGGCAAATAATTATGTAACATCATGCCTATCGGTGAAATTCACCTCTGGTAAAATTCACCGGAGTAAATTTTACTGTTTTTTTAAATTTCTTGTGCAGATCGCGGTAAAATTCACCACTTCAGAGTAAATTTTACTGTTTTTTAAATTTCTTGTGCAGATTGCGATAAAATTTCCCACAGTGAATTAAAATAAAATTCACCTCTGGTGAGCATAAAATTAATCCATTAATAATTTATATTTTTAAACTAAAATTAAAAAATCAAATAATTAGACTTATTTCTTCTAAAAGTAAATTTAATTGTGTAAAAGTTCTTTGTAAATCTATGCGTTGCATTATCAAAAAATCTAAAAAAAATCAAGATTTGTTTCTTTTAAAGTAAATTTAATTGTACAAAAGTTCTTATCGCATTGCATTATCAAGAAATCAAAATTTATTTTTAAAATAATTAAGACTTGTTTCTTCTCGAAGTAAATTTGATCTTGCAAAAGTTCTCATCTTAAATCTATGCATCGCATTATCAAAAAATCTAAAAAAAATCAAGATTTGTTTCTTTTAAAGTAAATTTAATTGTACAAAAGTTTTCATCACATTGCATTATCAAGAAATCAAAATTTATTTTTAAAATAATCAAGACTTGTTTCTTCTCAAAGTAAATTTGATTATGCAAAAATTTCTTTTTTTCTTTTTTTCTAAATTTTAAAAATTTCAAAAATGTCTAACAAAAACTTCAGAGACCAAAATAAAACACCAAAATCCGTTTCAAAAAAAATTATTAAAATGTATCATAAAACTCTTAAATATAATTATAAAATACATAGAAAATACATTAAATGCTCTTGTAAAAATATCACTACTATCACCATCATCATTGAAATCCCTAACACCATTAAAGTTACATTCTTTACAATCATTTCATATACAGTTTTTACAATTAATTAAACCTTCACCTTCCTCTTCCTCCTTATCATCATTACTATTACCATCATCATCATTTTCATTAACATTAATAGCAACAAACGTAACACTATTATTACCACCATTATTACCATTATCATCACAACCACCATTACTGTTTATACAATCAAATTCAAATCAATCAATAAGGTAAATAATAATATTTTAATAAATTTACGTTATCATTATAATTTTAATTATTTCTAATCATTTTTAAAATTATTATAGTTCATCAAATACTTGTTACTATTGTAATAGGTTAGGCCATTGGGTTAGTCAATGTCCTGATATCCCTCAAAGATATTGAAATTATTGTTTTAAATATTGGTTAACGAGTGGTCATATAACAAAAAATTGCTCATCATTTAATAGAAAACTACTGTGGAAGTAAGAATTTTAAAATCAATAATAAAATGTTTATTTAATAGAATTTTTTTAAAAAATTAAAAATTAATAATTTTTTTTATATTTTAGATAATACCAATATCAATGCCAATGCCATTACTACCACCATCACCACCACCAATAATGCCAATGCCTTCAAAAAAAGCTAATACAAATGCCAAATGCTAATGTTAGCACTAATGCTAATACTAGTTTAAAAAAAAGCTAATGTCACTTCCAATGCAGCATCAATGTCAAAGTCAAAAAAAACTAATGATTATTATTACCAAAGCCAAAACCTATATCACCATCATCAAAACCAATGCTAATGCTAATGCCACCTTAAAAAAAAAAGCTAATGCTACCAATACCATTACCAATACTATCTTAAAAAAAGCCAATGCAACCTCCATCATTAACGCCAATGCCAGCGTCAGAGTCTGAGTCAATATCAATACTAACACTAAATACTAAAGTTAAAAAAAAAGCCAATGTTATTGCTGCTGCTAATACTAACTCCAAAGCCAAAAAAAGCCAATGTCATTGCTAAAACCAAAGCCATTGCCACCACCAAAACCAATGCCAATGCCAATACTAAAGCAAAAAAAAAGCTGTTGTTTGCTGTTATTTTAATTTTAACTTAATTTTTTTTTTTACTATATTATTACCAATGTTTTACTGCTTAATTTTTTATTTTATGTGCTGCTGGATTAATTTTTTTTTAAAATAATATTTAATGTGTAAATTTTATTGATGGAGGGTCAAAAAATTTTTTTTTTTTTCATTTAGAAAAATATTTTTTGATGAAAAGGTCAAAAAAATTTTTTTTCTAATAAATTTTTTGATGGAAGGATCAAAAAATTTTTAAATACATTTTTTTTTACAGGTTTCAAAAAAAATTTTATTTTTTAATTATTATCTAATAAATAAATATATATATTTTTTTTTGAATTTTGGAAAACTAAACTCATATAAATATTAATATTTTAAATGAAATTATTTTTACTAATTTGTTATA